CGTCCGCTCCCTCCCTCTGAGCAATGCCTTCTCCCCAGCTAAACGACAAGCGAGCAGGCAAAGCCTCATAGGAAATGCACCCCAACTTCTGCCATAGCCAGTTGTACCACGGGTTGCAGATGCCCCCACGAGCTGGACTACTTTTACATTTGCTGCCTTAGAAAAGCAGAGGTTTTACTATCTGTCAGCTTTACCTTTGAACAACAGACAAGTTCAAATGAAAACAAATGTTACTCTAGCAAAGCAAAAAGACAGTATTAACCATTGCAAAACCACACAAATTCAATTAAAATTAAACATTAATCCATATGTATTTGAGTTAAATAATTTAATACAAGACTAATACACATTGAAACACCATTTCATAGTTCCTTCTTTTTGTTCAGAAACTTTGGAGGTATCCTGTGATAGCTACAGGTCAGTTCATTTGTACCTTGCCAGGAGGATGTGGCCTTCCAGAATGGACACACCTATGACTTCCCCCACACCTGGTTTCTACCTTACACCTCAAGGCTGCAGATGTGTGTATCAAAACAGGACCCAACTCCGTCTTCCATAAAACCACGTTCCACCCAGACTCCGTATATCACTCCTTACTGATGAATTCAACTCAGGCTTCTGTTGTGATGTTTCCTCACCATCCCAGCAACACACATCAGTAACACAAATAACTAACTTGAAAGAAAAACAATGCTGTGGCTTCACCTTTTTTGTTTGTTTGTTTCCTATGTTTAGGAATCTTCCAAGGAATATAAAAAAGTCCTGCGACAGGAAGGTCTTGTGAGATGCAAAAGCAGAAGTAAGCTAAACGGTGGCAATGGCTTAAATGGCTGGGAAGCGAGTGCACGTCGGAATTCACAACAATTCAGTTTGAAAATTCAGTAACAGAAGTAGACAATTTCTAACACACACAAATTATAACTGGTTAGCTGGATTTAACTGCAGACCACATTCACAAGTGTCTTCAAAGCTATGATTAAGAGGTTGAACCAAAGCAAAAAGATTCCTAACATGTTGTTTGATGGAATTCAAAAGAAACTTGACAAGTACCTTGCTTGAAGGAGTTTCCAAATAGGGATTTGAAATTCTTCTGGACAGGGTCTGTAAGACAATTTGGTAGAGCTTTAGTTTTGTTCTGGTTTTTGTATGAAAAAAAGCAGCAGCAATCTAGGTCTTTTAGATATTGAAATCTAAATAAAAAGAATTTATCAAATCATCTGAGTAGTCTAACTGAAGTCTCCAAATATTTTTTTTTTTTTCACATCACAAAAAAGGCTTGGTAAACGCAGTTCTGTGTTGTTTACTACATTTATTCTTGTTCTGGAAAAGAAAATGAGCAATGAGGTGGCAAAGCCTGTAGACAACACACAATTATTTGGGTCAGGAAAGACCAGAAACAACAGTGAAGAATTTCAGGATAAACCTAAAAAAATGCTAGGTGAAAAGACAGTATCATGATGAGCCCAACATTAAAAGCAGCATGTACTAGAGGGAGAAAATGTAATTACACATGCTCTAATACCTCTTAAAGCAAACTTTATCAATTCGGTAAAGACACCTCAGGGTCACGGAACACTTCTCAAGGAAGACCATTCTTTTAAATTAAATTCTTAATTGTAGTTAAAAGAAAAAAAATAGGATAAATGAGGAATAAAATGGTGACCAGCAGGGAGGTAACATTGCTGTAATGTAGATCAGCATTATCTCTGCCACGCCACATGCTGCCCTAGTAACAGCATCTCAAAACATGGACGCTCCAGTGTTAGAGGGGATTCAGACAATAATAGTGGTAGGAATAATAAAGGATTTGGATAATTTTTAATATAAGAAGAGACAGAAAAGACTGTGACTATTTACCTTACAAAGGAGACATTACAGGAGACATAATGCAATTATACAAAGTAATGACATGGCACAGAGAAAAGACAGACTTTCTGTGCTCTGTTTTATGTAACATGAGAAAACTGATCACTCAATTAAATTAGAGAGGATTCATATTTGAGGAGATAGAAGGGAAAATGACACATAACTCTTCACAGCAGGGAGATGCAAATGCCAAAACCTTACTGCTGATCAATAAAGATCAGGGATTTAGAGATACAGAATTAACAGCGGACCAGAACTCTGGAAGGCAAACAGAGACAGGATAAACATCTCTACGAGAGTCAGGTTACTCCACCTTTACTCACCAGGTATCTTGTCAGCGTTAAAAGACAAAATATTGTCTACTCTGATGCCTACTGGCCACTTCTATTTTACTACAAGACGCAAATAAACATTGCCTAAAAGAAGTTTGGGAGTGGAACAGAAGACTTTGTGCAGGTGCACTGGCAGCACAATGGGAGGAGTGTGTGGTGTTCCCTCACGTTATTCCATCATGTAGGCAGCATAATTAATTCCTCGCTTTGAGAAGGATCCAATTCACACTTGGTATACTGTAATCATAAAGAAAAATTCATCCTTCACACCCTGTAAGAATTACAGAATCCGTATTTCACTGATGCCAGCTGCTTTTCTCTCCCCTATATTCTTCTTACTGTATTTTTAGAAGAGGAAGGGAAGTGACAAGGAACCACAGAAGCATCTAACGCATCCACACTCATCACAAATGTTAGTGTAGTTCCACGTGTAACAGTAGCTCCATATGGAAATACTATAACACAAAAGCTTAATTCCCCTTTCCTGTACCCAGCAAAGATGCCGTAAGACTGCAACGTTGCCTCAGATCCCACTTACTCTTCCTTCCTCGCCGGCACGTCGGTTCTGCAGCAGCCCTACATACCACCACTGCACTTGGGTTTCCGTCCAACCCTTTCATTCAATGAGCCTCACCCACTGCAGCAGCTCGGCCAAAGCTTATACATCGATTTCCCCCCTCCCTGCCCCATTCCCAGGCTGGCACTAACGACGTTACCATCAGCGATGGCTAATTCCAGCAGTGCCGGTGGGAACTACAGGCCCCTGCATTGCACTGGCCCCGTCCCCAGCATTGAGAGGACGGCTGAGCCTCAGCCGGGGAAAACACAGCTGCTGCAGGGTGCAGTTACACGACAGCATCAGAGACCAAACTCAGCAAAAAGGACAAATTTGGTGGCCTTCTACAATGGGGTTACTGGCGGATAAGGGAAGAGCAACTGACATCATCTACCTGGACTTGTGCAATGCATTTCATACCGTCCCACACACATCCTTGTCTCTAAAATGGCAAGACATGGATTTGACAGGTGGACCACTCAGTGGATAAGGAATTGGCGGGATGATGCACTCAAATTGTTGCGGTCAACAGCTTGATGTCCAGGTGGAGACCAGCGATGACTGGTGTCCCTCAGGGGTCCAGGGCCAGTATTATTTAGTATCTTTGTCAGGGACATGGACAGAGGGATTGAGTGCACCCTCAGCAAGTTTGCGGATGACATCAAGCTGAGTGGTGCGGTTGACATGCTGGAGGGAAGGGATGCCAGCCAGAGGGACCTTAACAGGCTTGAGAGATGGCCCTTGCAAACCTCATGAAGTTGACCAAGGCCAAGCATAAGGTCCTGCACACAGGTTGGGGCAATCCCAAGCACAAATACAGGCTGGGCGATGAGTGGATTGAAAGTGTCCCTGTGGAGGACTTGGGGGTACTAGTGGATGAAAAACTGAGTATGAGCTGACAATGTGCACTCGCATCCCAGAAGGCCAACCGTAACCTGGGCTGCATCAAAAGCAGCATGATCAGCAGGTCAAGGAAGGTGATTCTCCTCCTCTACTCTTCTCTGGTGAGACCCCACCTGGAGTCCTGCACCCAGCTCTGGGGCTCCCAGCATAAGAAAGACGTGGACCTGCTCGAGTGGGTCCAGAAAAGGGCCATGAAGACTATCAGGGTCTGGAGCTCCTCCCCTATAAGGACAGGCTGAGAGAGTTGGGGTTGTTCAGCCTGGAGAAGAGAAGGGTCCAGGGAGACCTTACAGCAGCCTTCCAGTATTTAAAGGGGGCTTATAAGAAAGATGGGGAGGGACTCTTTAACAGGGAGCGTAGTGATAGGACAAGGAGTAATGGTTTTAAACTGGAAGAGAGTAGATTTAAACTAGATATTAGGAAGAAATTCCAAGGAGTCTGAAAAAGGTGACTGAGGCTGAAAGCTAGTAGAGAAAAAAAAATCTTCTAGTTTATCCTTCAAAATACACAGCGCTAGCTCTGGTGCAGGGGAGAGAATTCACAGCCCTGAAATGGGAGAAGGGAAGACAGGACAACGGCTTCTATCAGTGGCAGCTTGAACGTGTATCACCTTGGAGCAAGCATGACACATTGGAGAACCCAGAAGAGTACATTTAGCCTGCCATGCAGGAATCTACACCCACAAAATTTATACAAAGACAAGCAAATAGAAATTGCATAGGAGAAAATAAAACAAAAGTGAAAGTTGCATTCTGGAATAGAAAAAATTATCTTTCCTGTTGATGCTAGTGCAGCCTGTGTGATGCTGAAACACTCACTGCAGTTTGGCTGAAATTCATTAAAATTTTAGGAGCTACCAAGCTAGATCCCCTTTTCTTTTCCTTTTTTTTTTTTTTTTATTAACCTGTCTCAAAAAAATCTTAGCTAGCACAAAATCCCTTCATTTTGTGCTACTGAGCACACCTCTTTTCAGCAGAGTTGACGTGGGCTGTTGGGGGCAAACTGGCAGTCCTCTTCCAGACAGAGAAGAAGGGGGAGTGAATCAGGGATCCATGCTTTGTTTGAAAACCCCAACCTTCAGGCTGCTGTGTGGGGGAAGCACCACCCCTCCCTGAAAGGTTTTGGTAAATATAGACTGCTCCTCCCAAATGGTTTTGACACACACCAATTCAAAATGCATTTGCAAATAACTCTTAGAATGAGCCAAAATGTGCTTTTAAAGCAAATTCATTAGTCATCAAGCAAACAACTCTTCTCTTGC